AATTGTAATCAGAAAATAATGTTTTTTCAGAAGGGTTCCCGTATTATTCACGACCAGGGATCGTACTGGATGATCCGGAATTCAAACCCCACATCGGAGGCCAAAGACGTCCTATCCAAGTTCAGGTGCCCAGTAAAGGTGACGTGTTCGACATAATGGTGTCCGCCATTCAAGGACCTGGTGATAAACCAGCACTACTCAATCGTAAGCGCACATTCATATATAATAATTATTATTAAAATRAAACTATATACAACCAGACAACCCAATTGCCAAAGCTGTGATTTTAATGTGCTTTCTTTTTGCGGATTGTATAATAATCAATCAGTAAACATTTAATGAATAATTAATAGTGAGGTAAAGGTTCCTTAAACATRGATCAGTATACTATGATTGGTGCATTATATTTCAATGAACCATTAAATTACCCATTTTTTATGCAACCCGACATAAAAATTACAAAAATCATGCAAAATGTAGAGTTTGTRCATGAACTATAATATTATGATGTTAAAAATTCAATTCAAGAATTCAATCACTCTTCTACTAAGTATCAAATAACACGAATGACGGTGCATCGTTATTCGATATCAAGTTTTATAGTAAGGGGTACTTCATGACGACTGATGTCATTGTGTACCAGATTAAAAAAATTAAGATTCTAAAATATTGGAAATAGTCTGCACTGTTTTCGATCAAAGCGAATCCACTACATTAACACTTATAGTCCCGTGGCTGTATGTTGGGGTTTATTTGATTTTCAGCTTTTTTTACAATTTATTTAACAGCTTAGTTGTYTCTTTTTTTAGCCGACGAAATATCACCGTCRGGCGTCGGAAAAGGAGAAGTGTCCGTGATAACGTCAGCGGAACCAAACCAGCAGTTCGTGTCCATTGACGGTAAACGGACGTACATCAACTTGTTCGGCTCAGCGGAACCAACAGCGGTGGCGCCTCAGTCCATAAAGCCGACCAGCGCTGCTTCCGGGTGAGTGTAATTTCTATATTCGATATAGTCATAAGTTTATACATCATAATATATTATTTGTTGTAACTATATTCACACCAGCATTAAATCTATTACACC